TGATAAACGATTGCGTGTTTGTGTTATACATATAGCACTGTATATGTGTTTAGCAATAAAAATAAAGATTTGGATATTCTTTGTGTCTTTTACTGCAAACGATAAGAAACTGCAAAAACTTTTTTCTCTGTAGACTTGGATAGCGTTCAAAAAGTACTGCATTTGTTATGTTAACCCAAAATAATTCATCAAATGATTTATGCATTAATTGATTGTTTCAGTAAATGCTACGAAAAGCACACATTTTATAGCGATTCTGATGCCACTACTGATCGGAAAATGTTTTAAAACTCTTATATAAACTCATAAATTTTACACCAAATATTTACTTGTACTGTAATATCAAGTACAGTGTATTTATACTAACTATGAGTTCATCACAAATATTATTCAACGATAATAAAAGTTGAGTAAATAATTTTGTACAAAATTTAATTGTAAATCTATGTATTCACATATTATACATTATATAATACATATTATAAATTATTATAATTTATAATAATTATTGGGTTTTTGAATTTCATTTTGTTTTTTAAATCTATTAAACTTTTGCTTCCGAAGCATGTCTTCAAACTCTTGGACACTCTTTTGCTTCCTCTTCGGTATGTTATCTCTCAGAGCTTTACTCCAATCGATGTCAAAGATCTGATAATTTCTACGAAGAGTTTGTCTCATCTTTTTCGACATAAGAATAGATTATAATTTTATTTTTAAAAATCAAAAAAAATTTTATATTTTTCTCATAATTAAAATAAATACTGAAAAGTTGCGCATAAAGTATACAATTATTCATATGAATTAACTACAAAAATGATTGTAAAAAATTTGTAAAACTTTTTTAAGGATTACTGTATAATATCGAGAGAAAGATTAATAAACGACTCGTAAGAAGTGAATTGATTTACAATTGAATCGCGAATTTAATAAAATACAGTATAAATTAATTATAAAAAATTAGCAATAGAATTTTATAAAATATTAATATCATGCAATAATAAATTATTAATATATTAAATTGTCCATAAAACATATTTGCACCAAAATATACTGCATTACTAGGAGTAAAGTGTTACAAACATATTACTAACACCACGCACATGAACACTAATTAATTAAACAACCCTGCTGCTACCCTACCTACAAAACTCCAACTCCGTCTAATAATATTAATAAGCGTATTGTCCAACCATTTGGTAATATTGACCCTTTTGGGGCTCTTATATGGGTCTCACATGGCTGTCCACGGGATGCCCCACAGGGTCAAGAGGGACAGGGTGAGTAAATGTTTGACCATGGTGGAGATGCGAGGGTGACCTAGGACATACCGAGAGTGGACAGACACATGTGCGTGGCTCAGGCCATGGGAGCACTGGGCGCCGATGTTGTATGAGTGGCGGACAGCCTTTCTTGAGTGCGTGGCGCACACGCTATACGCTCCCAATAGCCTCGAGACATGGGCCCAAAGTGACGGCCCCTACACACCGAACTGGCCAACAGGGAGGGCCGGTTAGCCAAGCAATGCCAGTCCACACCATAATCAGTTGGTTATATGTTCCAGAACAATTATATAACTTATTGTGTGTTATTTGATGATTGTTTGAAATAAACACACAATAAGTTATATATAATTGTTTTGAAGAGAGAGACACCGAAAGAGAGGTTTATCTCAAAAGATCTCATGATTTCGACGAAGACCTGAATTCTTGTTATTTTGTTGCTTTACTTTCGCAATCAATTCGTCGACTTTTGTTATTATCATTTGTATGTCTCATAAACTATCCATCAATTTGTTGCCTACTCTTCAACATCACATGAAAAATACTTACGGAATAAATAGTTAAATGAATAAAAAACTATTTCTAAAACAAATATTTATTCGTAAATTTATTTTGCATACCTGTTAACAGAAAATATTTCTACACATAATGCAAAAAATAATTAATTAAAAAATTGTATGAAATTAATTTCATAACCATATGCTATGAATACGATAATTGAATGAATGTTCAAAAATCTGTTGATTTTTATTAACTAGTAAATTAAAAAAAGTAATTAATTTCTACAAACAAATTGTTATAAATTTTAAATTTATTTATTTACTTTATTAAACACATTTTAAATACTATACAAGTTATAATTTACATTTTTATTTTATCTGAAAAATATGGCAATAATTATATATATATATAATATAAAAAGTTACTCATTCTTATAGTTCATATCTTATATTATTTTTCAATAGATTTCTGTATCAATAAAATCATACAATAGTTTTCAACACAGTTTTTAGTCATCTTTTTCGACATAAGAATAGATTATAATTTCGTTTTAAAAATCTAAAAACATTTTGTTTTTTCTCACAATTAAAATAAATACTGAAAAGTTGCGCATAAATTATACAATTTTTCATATGAATTAACTACAAAAATGATTGTAAAAAATTTGTAAAACTTTTTCTAAGGATTACTGTATATATTGAAGGGAAAGACTATAAACGACTCGTAAGAAGTAAATTGAATTCACAACTGAATCGCGCGTTCAATAAAACACAGTATAAATGGATTCAGTCATACAATTGACGACCGATTTTGATTGGGTTTGCAAATCAATTATAAAACAAAACACTAATAAAAACAATAAAAATCATCTCAAATAATACATACAATTCATACAAAAAATCAATAAATATTTTGATAAAACAATAGTAACTTTAAGATCATATCATTACACTCCTAGACATAAGTCGACTGTTGATTGGACTCCTCGTCAAACTCCTCGCACTCGCTCTCGACGTCTAAATCGCAGCCATTATTGCAGTCTTTGGCCGCTTTCTCGCACTCCTCCACACCATTGATATTATCGGCCATCGAGTCGGTGGTCGTCGTCGTCGAAGAATAGGTGAGAATATTCTTACGCTTATTATTACTCCACTCGTTGTCCGACAGATTCGGTAGATATAAGTCGAGATACTTTTGTGGGGACGACGGCTCCGACGTGTCGGCGAACGGAATGTCTTCATTCGGACGGTCATTGCGCGACAAAAGCGGTGAACTCTCGTGACTGACGGCCCGCTCGATGAACGCCCGCTCCTGCGAGCCATTGCACGACAACTCGATTTGACTGTTGTCTGAGTTGGACTCCAAGTCGTGGATCTCATTCACTGATACCTCGAACAGATTCGAAGAACAAATGGGTTTATTGTCCGATTGGGCCAAATCATAACTGTCCCAATGGTAACCTGGGGTGATAGGGAGGGTGTGCACAGTTAACAGGGTTAGTGTGAATCATTCAATTACTATATACAGTGTTTGTCTATAAAATTCATGCAATTATTAGGCAAATGGTTAATACCGTCGGCGATCTGAGAGTTAGTTAAGGAGGTCTGCTCTTCAGTGAACACTAAATACAAACATTTGACACAAATATTTCATTAGTTATTAGCGTTTCTAATGGTATTCATAGTTAGAGTAATATATGGTATTTGTTAGTCACTCCAAATCACCACAAATAGGGCCCCGAAATGAATACATTTCCACTCAGTTTACTCACCGTTTGAATCCGAGTCGCCGAACGAGACTCTCGTCAGAGGTGTCGACGCCTTACACGCCGAGGGTTTGGCATCTGTTAAGACACAAAGACTTATGAAAACATCCGCACAAAACCACACAACCATTCCTATCACACAAACCGTTAAGTATTTTAATCTGCTTTTTAGAGTCCTTTTTTGACGCGGACTTTGCATTTGAGTCAATCATTTGCGGCGAAACGCTGGCGATGGGAGCGCTCTTCTTCTGGAAGTTTTGCCGCATATTCTCAGCGCATATATTGGTCTCCAACTCATCGCCACTCCTGTCCTCAACGTTGAAGTTGTTGAGCGTCTGGAGCGGATCGGCGCAAGAGGTGGGCCTTTGGCCGAGCAATGGCCTACTCGTGTGACTCATCTCGAAGTTACTCATCTTCGAGTGCCTCTTCAGCTGAACGTTGATCTCGTTCTTCAGCAGCCGTTGACTTTGATCCCTATTATTGAAGGGGCGGTGCGTTTGCGACTTGTGCTTGCATTTCATGCATACGGCGAATACAAAGCCGGTTACCGCCAGCACCGACAGCACCACCAAAATGCCGATTATCTCGTCGAGCGTTATGTGCAATTGAGACGATATGATGTTCGTGGCGTACAGTCCCTCTCCGGTGCACGAGATACCGGTGCTATTCACGGGACATATGCACCGGAAAGTGCCGGGCAGGTTGATACAGGTGGCCGGCGTCATGCACACCGGTGCCGACAGTTGGCACTCGTCGATGTCGTACTGGCAGTAGAGGCCGTGCCAGCCCTGATGGCAGTGACACTTGGGTCCCAGAGTGGTCTCCTCGCAGACGCCGCCATTTTGGCAGAGATTGGGTGAAC